GGCAGGCTGCTATCCGCAGCGTGGGGAGCCTTGCGGGGAACTCCTGCAAGGCTCTCCACGCTGCGGATGTGTTCCCGAAGCGCCGGGCGCTCTGCTTTCAGGGCGCCCGACGCTCCGGGAAGCAGGCTGCTATCCGCAGCGTGGGGAGCCCTGTGGGGAACTGCTGCAGGGCTCCGCACGCTGCGGATGTCTGCCCGGCGCAAGGGGCGCTCTGCTTCAGGGCGCCCCTCGCGCTGGGCGGCAGGCTGCTATCCGCAGCGTGAGGATCCTTGCGGGGAACTCCTGCAAGGGTCCCCACGCTGCGGATGTGTTCCCGAAGCGCCGGGCGCTCTGCTTTCAGTGTGCCCGACGCTCCGGGAAGCAGACTGCTATCCGCAGCCTAGACACGGCTAGCGGAGCGCTAATCCTGAAGCTTGGGGCGTGCGGAGCTCAGCGCGCCCCAAGCTTCTGGGTGCCGGCAAGGTCTCCTTGACGGCTAGCGGAGACCTTGCCGGCACCCAGAAGCTTGGGGCGCGCTGAGCTCCGCACGCCCCAAGCTTCGGGATTAATGCAGCGCTCCGCTAGCCGTGGGAGAGCTGGGTCTCCCATGGCTAGCGGATAGCTTCCTGAAGCCTGGACAGCGAGAGGGGTCGGTGCGCACCGACCCCTCTCTCTCTCCAGGCTTCAGCGAAAGCCTGCATTCGCTCCATAGGACGCACACACATTTTCCCTTGCTTTTTAGGAGGGAAAAAGTGCGTCCTATGGTGCGAAAAATACGGTAATTGCCCTTCATTGGTGGGGGGAGTATGTGTGAAGCAAACAAACATGGGGGTGGGATTCTGCAAAGGCTCTGTGCAGTTTGTGTGTGGAAAAGATTGAAACATTGCTTATTCAAAGGCAGTAGCTTCACTGTTTAGATGAGTTTTAGATTCTTATTGGAGAATGTATTGTTCCTGTGTCAAAGCACATTCAGTGGACGAAACGAGTCTCAGAACCTGCAGCTTCCTTAGAAATGCTACCTCTTTTAGAGGAGGGTGGGAGGTGCCTTCTGTTAGTACTCCCTCAAGTACCAGCTGTGAACCCAATAGCTAAATAACTTTCAGCTGGTTACAGGGTGGCTGATGGGGTGGTCTGATGCAGTGCAACAGATTGTAGGCACAAGTTCAACTGCAGTCACTGAAAAGGCTCCTAACTGAACAAATTCAGTTTTAACTCCATGTTGCAGCATTCATCAAGGCTCCATTCCCTGTACATCTGGCCCAAGGTAAATATGTTCCAGTAACATGTTCTGTTTGTGTATTTCTGGTAGCTATGCTTTTCCACAAGGAACAAATTTGGCAAGTTTGTAGGAAACGATAAAGACAGGCAGCCAACGCCTTTAAAATTACAGTTCGTTTTAAGTTCAGCATTTCCCAACACCAGTTTGGCAACTTCCATGCACGTTGAGTTGCTTTTAAAGGAATTCATTTTGCACAGAGTAATATGAGCAATTACATTTTGCAACATTCCTAACGGATGAAATATTTCAAGTGTGACATTTAAGAATGTTTTGTACATACCGCTCGTATTTGACCATTGACAACGAGCCCAACTTTGGGTTACCTGACAAGTGAATGGAAAGTGCAGTAAGTATCACACTTTGCATACTACTGAAGCAGGGGCTTTTACAGGATCCTAGAGATGGTTAGGGATGCGGGTGACGCTGTGGTCTAGACTACGGAGCCTAGGGATTGCCAATCAGAAGATCAGTGGTTCGAATCCCCACGATGGGGTGAGCTCCTATTGCTCTGTCCCAGCTCCTTCCAACCTAGCAGTTCGAAAGCACGTCAACGTGTAAGTAGATAAATTGGTACTGCTCTGGCAGAAAGGTGAACAGCGTTTCCGTGCGCTGCTCTGGTTCGCCAGAAGCGGCTTAGTCATGCTGGCCACATGACCCGGAAGCTGTACGCCGGCTCCCTTGGCCAATAAAGCGAGATGAGCGCCGCAACCCCAGAGTCGCCCGCGACTTGACCTAACGGTCAGGGGTCCCTTTACCTTTACCTTTAGAGATTGTTAGGGTTTGTTGGTGCCATGTTTAGTTTTCAGACAAGTGGCTGTATCTGCTGCAAGAAAAACAGCTAAATTATGTTTCTCTTTGAAAAGTAAATTATTTTAGCATAAGCCTTCATTGGCCAAAACAACTTGATTTGATGTCTGGGTTATATATATGTACATTGAGTACAGAAGACTTTTGGGGTGGTGGTGGGGAAACACTTTTACTACGGCAGACTCAACAGGTCAAGTGAGAGCTATAGGTGTACCACATTTTTATGTTGAGCATAAACACAAAATTTAGTTTGACACTAGAGGGCGTCTGTGTGCTACAGTATCCAAGGCCAAATTACGGTACTTAGGCTTGCTGCTTGTTTTGGTAATGCATCTGATACAAAGATGCAGACAAAGCTGATTGAACTATGGTTTTTGAAAGTGCTAATTAGCAGAACTTAAAGGTAAAGGGACCCCTGACTGTTAGGTCCAGTCACACAAATTCAAATAATGAGGTATCCGTGTGTCTAAACATCATTTACTTCCATTATCATGGAACCTGAACATAATCTTTAGGAATATATGCTATGCTCATGGATGCGTTGAATTTTAAAATGGTATTCAATAAGTATCTCTACCAAATGTATTCTGCTTGTATGAATGTTAAGACATTTTATATAGGACTGCCATAGTAGCTAGAGTGGTGCTGTTTCGTAATACAGGAAGAATTCATTATATTAGACCTGCATATCATAAAGCCTTCCCCCACAGAGGAAATCTAAATAAACATTGATAGCTTGGAGTGGCAGAATGCTAATACATGCATTCAGAAGTGCATGAGGGAGTTGACACCCATTTTTGCAGTCAGATGTTGCTGCTGAACTCTGCTATAAGTAATAGAAACAAGGCTATGTAAGATAAGCAGAACAGCAAAAATGGAGGCTGACATAAGATGCCAGAGGAAAAGGGGATGTAACCACGCTTTAAGATCAGAAAGATCCGTGGACTAAAAAGAGAAATGGGGGGGGGAGTGGAAAGAAGGGGTGAGCTATGAGATGGGCAGAGAGGGAGAGGGTAACTTTGAGCGGGTTTTACAATTTTAACTAAAAAGCTTTGCTGCTTATAAACGATGTAGGCTCTCAAGTTAAAAAAAGGGTCTGCAAAGGGATTTGATGCATTTGGAAACCCTGGTATATTTTTAAGAAGGCATTATGAAATAGCTTTCCTTCCTTCACTAGCAAGGATTGTGCTGTAGCTTCCTTCAACATATATTTTAGAGCTATTTTAGCAAAGGTATTTATAGAGAGGCTTCAGAAAGCATGAGTTGCGCTCAGGGTGTTTTGATCCAAGTCTCAGCTGCTGTGTTCACATGATTACGTAGATTTGTACACTTCCTTGACCGTTGACAGATATAACTTGGGTGCAAGCAACAATTCTGTTTATTTTTCTTCCGTATTTTTTCAGTCACAGAGTGCTGGCTTGTATCCGATTCTTTCATTGATTTTCCTGTTGTCAGTCACTTGGTACAAAGTCGAGGAATGCAACCTTCCTCTGAAATAGATTCAAAGGAATCTTGACTACTTCCACTGTCTTTGAGTCCCTGAAAAAGATACCTCTAAAAGGCTTTCTCCAGCACTCCTGCTAAAACAGGGGTCAGCAACCTTTTCACCTGTGGGCCAGTCCACCGCCCCTCAGACCATGTGGTGGGCCAGACTATATTCTGGGGGAAAACCAAAACGAATTCCTATGCCCCACAAATAACCCAGAGATGCATTTTAAATAAAAGGACACATTCTACTCATGTAAAACCACACATTCCTGAGAAGGCGATTAGGTTGCATTTGGCCCATGGGCCTTAGGTTGCCTACCCTGTGCTAAAACAACTCAAACTCTTACTATTTGGAGCAGTGCCTATAATCCCTGGCCATTAGCCATGGTGGCTGTGGGCTGATGGGAGTTGGAATCCTCCAGTATCTAGAGGGCCATAAGTTCCCCAAACCCACTTTAGACCACAATAAGTTGGTGTGTATCTTGGGTCCCCACTTGTGCCCTCAGCATCAAACCGCCTGCCTACTAAGCCCTCCCTGCCCTTCTCATTTTTTTACTTCAAAGTGAGGAGTTTGGGTGCTTTGTTAGGAGGTTGCCTGCTTCATTGTATGTATTGTTTGGGGGAGGTGTATGTTACCTGTTTTATTGGGTACAAGTGTCTGAGCATCACTTATTTGTCCCTGCAAATAGCATTTCATTGATTTTCAAATGTCTCCTAAAAGACTGGGGATCTGCAGTGTGGGCTCTCACTTGCTAGCCAACAATGTAGGCTGTACAGTTGCCTTACAAGAAAGGATGGTGTTCTTTGGTGATCCTATGAGAAGGTGCATTGGATAGTGACTATGACACTCCTCTGTATGTTCAGTCTGCGTATTTCTGTGTTCGGGCCCCTAGGAGTTTTAGTCTCCACATCAGCACAAGTACCATATAAATGCCTCGGGGCGTTTTTTCACACCGTGCGTGCCGCCCTCGATCCAATATAACGATCGCACTGCGGAGGAGTTTTGCCGTTGCAGAAATAAACAAAACTCTGTTATGGATGATTCGTGAGGCATCTTCTTTTTTAAAAAGGAAGCCCCGCGTCGTGACACAAGCAGCTCCTCAGCAGAACTGTTGCCTTCCGTCGGGAGGAGAAGTTGGGCGGGCAGGGAGGCGTCGGGAGGGCGGCCCCCCCCCCCGGTGAATCAGCTCCTGTGGGTGGCGCATTCTCCAGGGGGCGCCAGGACTGCAGCCTGCCTGCCTGCCTGCCGATGCCATTTAAAAAGTGCTCCAGCCCCGAGCGCGCCGGGTTCCTCGCCTCCTCGAGTTTGAGGAGCGGAAATGGCCAGCGCGGGAGAAGCGCTTTGTTCTTTGGCGGCGGCGCGGCGGTGGTTCGCGTGAGGCGCTACAGGCCTCTCTGGCGGGAGGGCAGGAGACGGAGAAGCGGGGAGGCGCGCCGGCCCTGAGGCGAAGGGTGTGCGAGCGAGAGCGCGGCGGGGCTTCCCTCATCTTCTTCCGCGAGCGCCCTCGGCCCCCTTGACGCGCCCCGCTGGGGTGGAGGAGCCGCGTTCAAAAGCAGCGCGAGCCCAGCAGCTTCCCTCAGTGGCTGCGGGGGACGCCCGGGCGTCGTCGGAGAAAAGGCTCCCGGGACCCCGAAGGCTCCTCTCCTTGCCCGGGTCTTGCGGGAACTTTGTTCCGGCGGCGCCGCCGGGAGGATGCTGGAGGGCGGCTGCAAAGCCGTGAAGGAGGGCGTGCTGGAGAAGCGCAGCGACGGCTTGCTGCAGCTGTGGAAGAAGAAGCGCTGCATCCTCACCGAGGAAGGGCTCCTGCTCATCCCGCCCAAGCAGCCGGAGCTGGCGGCGGCGGCGGCGGCGGCTCCTGCTCCGCCGCCTGCTGCTCCTCTGCCCGGCCTGGAGACGACGACGAGCGCGGCGCCCTCCGTGGTCGCCAAGATCAAGGAGCTGCCCTTCTCCACCATGAAGACGGTGGACTGCGTGGAGCGCAAAGGCAAGTACGTGTACTTCACGGTCGTGATGGCCGAGGGCAAAGAGATCGACTTTCGGTGCCCGCAGGAGCAGGGCTGGAACGCCGAGATCACGCTGCAGCTGGTGCAGTACAAGAACCGCCAGGCCATCCTGGCCGTCAAGTCCACGCGGCAGAAGCAGCAGCACCTCGTCCAGCAGCACGGGCCGCGCCTGCGGAGCGCCTCCAACTCCGCCTAGCCGGGCCCCAGCCAGGGCAGGTAGGAGCCAGGCGGGGAGAGGGCAGCTCTCCTGCCGCCGATCGCCCCGCTCCCCTTGCAGCCCTTCCCCAGCGCCTCTCTGGAACGGATTCCCTAACAATCACCTCTCTCTGCCGTCTTAGTTTTGCCCGGCGAAAAGTGCCGTGTGGGGTGGCGAACTCGTGTTGCTTTCCTGAAGCGCGCGTCTGGATGGGCAGCCCGCTTCACGCGCGCGATGTTTTGCTTGGAATCATAGAGTTGGAAGAGACCCTGAGGATCATCTAGTCCAATAATAAAATAATAATAATAATAATTTATTCTTTATATCCTGCCCATCTGGCTGCCCCCCCCCACTCTGCACTGCAGGAATATGCAGTTGTCCCATGCATGGGGTCGAACTTGCAACCTTGGCGGTTATCAGCACCAGTCTGTAACCGCTGAGAGAAGTTGTGCATGAGGCTCAAGCATGAAAAACACGCGCAAATGCTCTCCTGTGGTCCGTGCACGTGTGTGTGTTTCATTAGCTGGGTATGTAAAAGAGAGAGAGTCACTAGGTGGCTTTCATTCCTTTCCCTGCACAGAAATCCTCTTCTGTAATTAAGAGTAAGGCTTGAAGCGCTTGATCGGATCCCTCTAGCAACCCTAGAGCATGTTGTTTGTCTTCTTGCTCACTGGACTAATAGCCTCAGTGGACAGCTCTTCCGGCCCTTCTCAAACAGCATGTGCTTGCAGTGTGCTGTGGCATGATGGATTCTTGTGCAGCTGCTAGATCAAGCCTGGCCCAAGTGCTTTGCCACCGGAGACAGAGCAAGAAATGCCCTCCTCCGCAAGTCAAGGTGAAGAGCACCCAAAGTCAATCAGGTGAATTTGCAACCATGATTGCTGTGCTTTAGCGAACACCAAAAAAATAATAATTTAAAAATCTCTGCCTGTATCTGCAAATCATTCAGTTCACAGGTCATGCTTCTCCTTCCAAGCAATGGGGCTGAGAACAGTTAGTGACCCTTTGCATGTAACTGTAAAAGGAATTGGGGGGTGGGGTGGGGATGGTTAGAGCTAGCGTCTTCCTGGTGCTAAAGCCTAGTTGTGAAAATAGCTGCCAGAGCCTCAGGTTGTTGCCTCTTGCAAGGACACTTTGCAAGAGACCCTGTTGTTTGTATTGGCGCTGTTTTAGGTAGGAAGTGTGTCTGTGGCTGTAAAAGAAGAATGCTGCTCAGTTATTCAGATCACTGTCCTGTGTTGTTATAGATGGAATTCAAGCAATGCTTCTGGAAGCAAGGTGGACCCTCTCCATCGATCACAACCTTGGCAAACAAAGGGACTGCAGACACAAGGGAGAGCATCAGTTCTGCTGCTGGAGTCTTTCCACTTTTGATACTGCCCATCATTACTGCGGGGAAGCGTTTAACACTTGTAACTTTGACTACTGCTTATGAAGATATGAAAGGATTATTTGGCCTGCCGGGCCTCAAAAAATATAAGATTGTTGCTGCCATATTCCACCCCCCAATCTGTTTTCTTTTTTATGTTAATTTATTAGTGGAGACTTTTGCAAGGTATTTCTGAATGTAGGCCATTTAGAAAGGAATCACACACAGAGTATAATTGCATTGGCTATATTGCTACACTTGAAGGGAGGAGGAAGGCAGAGGAGAGAAGGTGATGTTGGTGAAATGAAGAGATGTACCAGAATATGGACTTTACAACTAGTCCCCCCCCCACGTCACTTTTTACATCCGTTTTCCGTTGCCACAAGTGAGAGACTATTATGAAACAAATGTGTGAAATATGTCCTGGAATAAGGAAAGCAATGACTTGGAACCTGATTTCTAGGTTGCTTTAATGTTTATTATATGTTCATTTGGAGAGTATTATATTTTGTATCCAGTAGTAAATGCATTTGGGTATGCCACTTGTATGTATTCCTGCTTCGTGAAGAGGCTATGGAAATCTGACTTCATGATCAAGGATAATCGATTTAAAAATACAATCATGCTATGTTCTTTTATTCAGATAATAGAACCATGCAGAGAACTGTTCATTGCACTTCTTTGTTTAAGTTTGGGACCCTGTCTGTAATGTTTCTCAGAGCTGTTACTTGATTCTGTTCAAATCATTCTAAAACATCTTCAAATGCTACACTAATCATCCCATCCAGTAAATGTCTTACTGTTTAACTGAGGAACTTTCCCAGAATTCCTGTAATTGAGTTCCCTAGATGAGCCTCAGCGCAACATTTTCCATTGCCCCCTGCCATAGCCTCTAAGAACATAGGACATTTCAGTCAGGGAGCAGCACTAATTTAAAAAAAAAAACTAAGCAAAGATTCTGCTTTTGTTGTTTGTTTCTATTTACAGTCTTAATATGGAAAAAGTAAGGCTTCTAATAACATTGTTTCTTTTCAAAAGTTATTTTTAAATTGATTCATTCAGTTACAAGGAGCCTAACATAGTTAATTGGATAAGGGAAGGCCTTGGGTTTTGCAAGCATGTGTTGAACTTAAATCCAAACTTAACCAGTCCTGCATCAGGAGAAGACATTGTTGGGCACCTGCTGATACTGAAAGCATAGGTTCTCCTCTTTGCTGTTAAAACCTGTTTACCTGAGCATGCAAGCACTCTAGGTAGATATGTGGACTGGGCAAGTGAATAGATTGCAGCAACAACCATTGAAGTCATTCAGGGAGGGACCTTATGAAGCATGCCTTGCCCAAAGGCTTCCCAAAAGCCAACCCTTTATAAAGGGTACCTTGTGGTTCCTTTTATCCAAGTTAGTCTAAGTCTGCCAACAACAAATAATGAGAACTTACTCTGCCCCCATTAACAACAGATTACACACTCTGTTAAGAATGCAGGCCTATACATACTAATTCAGATAAGTTATGAATGGCCTGTCTTAGGTTTGGTGATACCCAGTGTTCGTCATACCCTGAGTAGACCTATTGAAATCAACAGGCTTAAGTCTATTGATTTCAGTGGGTCTAATCTTCATGTCTGTTGACAGTATTCCTGGCTTCTTTCCTCAACATCATCTAAATAGTGTTTAAATGTTTGTAAAATAAATTACCCCGAAACACCAGTGGTTTCAGAAATAGGACTTAACATGATTAGTTTTGCCAGTCTCCTTTCCCCACCCAAATCATTGAGAGCCTCTCTCCGTGTCTACCTCCACTTCCACTGTTTAATGTTATGGAATGGGGAATTGGACCAAAATATTAAATTCCATGCTCAATTTCTTGAGGTTAACTGATGTTGTCATAACTTCTCAATACAGTGGTACCTCTGGTTACAAACTTAATTCGTTCCGGAGGTCCGTTTTTAACCTGAAACTGTTTTTAACCTGAGTATCACTTTAGCTAATAGTGCCTCCTGCTGCTGCCACGCCGCCGCCGCACAATTTTGTTCTCATCCTGCGGTAAAGTTCTTAACCTGAGGTACTACTTCTGGGTTAGCGGAGTCTGTAACTCGAGGTGTTTGTAACCCGAGGTACCACTGTATACTGTGTTTTTTTAAAAAATGGTGGCAGAAGTCTTCAGTCATGCCAACTTTTGCTATTTTTCACAATGTATTGGAAAACTTTGATGCTAGCTAAGCCTTGTAAGCACCGGCGGGAAGGTAAATAGTGTTTCTGTGCGCTGCTCTGGTTTGCCAGAAGCGGCTTAGTCATGCTGGCCACATGACCCGGAAGCTGTACTCTGGCTCCCTCGGCCAATAAAGCGAGATGAGCACCACAACCCCAGAGTCGGTCACGACTGGACCTAACTGTCAGGAGTCCCTTTACCTTTACCTTTAAGCCTTGTAATGGTGGATTCAGCTGATGCTACTGCCTTTAATGCATGACTGACTAGACTAAAGGCCCACAGACATTACCCCCAGTCACCTCAGAACAAGTTGTTGGCCAAAATATGAGAAGTGTGAAGGAATCGTGCTTATTCTGTGATATGAGGAGTAAACATCTTCACTTTTTGTGGCCTCCTGTTGGGTGTATCTTAAGGACAAACTTCCTTCCCATCCCGAGTTCATTTTTTTGTACTGAGAATATGTGACTTGTATGATCAAGTTGGCTGTGGCTTTGTGCTTCTTTAGGATTGCTTTATTTTGTATTACCTTTAAGACTTAGAAGAAATATCCACAGGAATTGCTCCGCTGCGTCTCTGTTGCCAAGAAATGTCTTTGCAGTGTATAAAACAGAGGTCATTCCTAGACTGTTTGAGACTATGACAGAGGGCAACAACTTTAGGGATGTCTCCAACTATGCTTTACTCAGAACACACCCATTTTAATTAATGAACCTCAATAATATTACAAGTTTCATGAGGAAAGGACAAATTTTACCAAGGAAATTCAGGGTATAGGTACTTAGTAATAATGGATGGTTTTGCACATGTGCTTTTTTGAGCTTCTCCTCCCTCTGTGTGATGTTCTGCATGATGCAGAGACCCCACAAATGGAGCCTGTTACAGTGGCTTCACTACCAGCCTGTCTCCAAATAAGGTCCCAGTGAAAAGTTTTACATTAGTGTTGCAAATTAATGGTGGGGGGGGAGTAACAGGTAGGCCACCTGTGATTCTCCTTGGATGAAGATAGAACTTTAATAAAACAAACAAATTTCCGCGTCATGGTAAACCTATGAACTGCAGAGGTTTTTCGTACTTCGCTCCTTCCTGAACAAAAGCAGGAGCAACCAACCACGGTCCCTGACTTAGAATTACATTGGAACTAGGGATCAGGCTTTCTTTCATGCCAAACAAACTACAGTATGAAGCCACAATTTCGTATTGGCTTACTAATTGTGGTTTGTTTGAGCAAAACAAAACAAAATCACCGGCTTGGATTTATCACAAAGTCAGGGGTCACGGTTTGTTTACTCATCCTAGGGGAGGAGTGAAGCTGGAGCAATCTCCACATTCATTATAAACTTTATAATGACGTGCAAACTGGACATTTGTTTCTCAGTAGGAGATGCCTGTTTTCAGTTTTCAGAAGAAAGGAAATCACCCCTGTGGTTTTTCTGTTACATTTTGGAAGTAAAAAACTCCCCACCCTTTTCTTTTTTAGTTCATTGTTTTCAATTACTGGCTTTTGCAAAGTAGCTGCAGTGATGTACCAAATGTTTTCTGGCACATTGTGAGCTGAAACAAGTGTTATCAAACAAAATATGTGTAAATATGATGCAAATGATTTCTGAGAGATGTGATTTATTTTTCAATATGCATTCCATTTCAAATAAAGAAATATTCATTGAAATGTTCCCTTGATATGGTATGAAAAGACTACATCTTCAAAGGAGGATGGAAACAAAATTTCTGGACATAATCAATAGACTGCTGTAAAGCTTACATCTGTGGAATATCATTTTCATTGATTCAACCATTTTGAGGTCACAACATAGAAGGTAGCTTGTTTTTAAAGAAAATCTATAATTGGTTTTCATTAGAGAGAGGCCTCCTAAGAGAGAGGCTAGGTGACAAAAAACTAATAATTACAGTGGATCTTTTCAAGAAGGGTTTTCCCCCTTTATGACTCACTTGAATGCAAGGTGCATCAATAACACTCTGCTCAACAGGACAACCTTCATCTGTAGCGTCTGTTCCTTTCCTCCTTCACAGCATGGTCCTTTTGGAGAAAATTGTACTTGCCACAGGCTATAAGCTTTGCTTTCAGGTTGACTTTTTAATATTTCCATTTTACAAAAGAGTAATAGAGGCTGGGAGGTAGCGATTGCACAAGACCACCCAACAGGTTCATGATTGAGCCAGAATTTGATGCCATATTTCCAAAGGTCCAGGCTGAATATGATGTTCATATAAAAAGAGGGAATTTGGTAGTTCACTAAAGTATGTGTTATTATGTGACTAGGAGCCATCACATCACAAGTTAGCTCATTTCCAGTAAGGAGGGAGGGCAAGACACTGAAAATACTGTATGTTTTGAAACAAGGCCTTGTCTGTCCATGCATGGCAATTTTCAGCACTCTAGCGCCTGGCATGCATTCAGCCAGCATCAAAACATTGTGACCTCCCTATTACCCAAGGGAATTGCAAAAGGAATTGCTTAGTCATCATCACACAGCAGTTCTGCAAATCAGTGGGAGGAATACATCATAGTCGTCTTGGATGACTGAATGGTGTCTCCGGAAAGGTTTCTTTTTCCTTTGCTGAAAACAAGTCCCTAATCCATTCTATAAACGTTGGTTTCTTTTCTGATAACAGTAAGGCAGATGACATTATTTCAAAACATGCCACCCCTTTTCTATTAAAAAGAGAGAGAGAAGTCTCACTCAAACTCTCTTTGGCTCATTCTTCTCCGTGTTGCTCTCCTTTGCCTTCAACTTGACTGAAGACAATGTGTACTTACGTTAAAGGAGTGACAGGGGTCTGTTTAACCTGGCCCATCCATCTCCACTTTTGTGGCGATCACACAGGGTCCCCAGACGTTTGACAGTCTATTGACCCTGTGCTGCCACTGTGATTGCTTCCCCGCTGCCACCAACCCGTTTCTCTCGGGTACACACGGAGTCCAGACAGTTGTTAACATTAACAAATGATCAAGTTTATTTTATAGGCATGAACAAGTTTATGGTTTCAGTTAATTTTTCTTGGCAGTTTCTTAATCTTAGTTCCTTTACTGTCCTATATGTTCCTAACAACTTCAAACTGATTATCCCAACTATCTATCTGACTCCACCTAACAGTTCCTCTCACTCTCTCACAACACAACTCGACCAACCCACAGACTTATATTCTCCCTCTGTGGTTTTGTATCTGTCAGGTGGAGATATGTAGTAGAAGGAACGGCTGAAGTGGTCAAACTGTTTCTCACCTGGCTGGAGGACACCTCATCCTAGAGCCTCAGGGTCTAGTCTGGGCTAGTCTTGCCTGGAGCTGGGAAAACTTTCTCTCTGCTAGCTCCAAAGCTTTGGGGGCCTCCCTAGAAACCATGGGCTACTTACACTCCACTGCTGAGAGGGCTGCATTGGTTACCAATCTGTTTTTGGGCCAACTCTGAGGTTTTCAAGTTAGTTCTCTAAACAACTTGGACTCCAAGTACCTTAAGGACTGCCTGCATCCTTACGCTCCCCACCCCTTAGTTGCTAAGATCTTAGATGGAGCAATTTCAGTGGTCCCAAATGCCCCTGAAGGTTCAGCTGGACTTTACAAAGGATTGAGCCTTTACTGTGGCAAACGCTGCTCATTTTTAGGCATTTTCTAAAAGTCACATTATTCACAAACCTTTCACACGTGAGGTTTTTGACGTCAAGCTCTTATTGGTGTGTTCGATGTTTTTATTGTTTTTGTTGTTAATACTTTGTTTTT